CACCGCCGCTAGCTGCTCGCCGCTCTCCCCGCCCCCTGCGCGGCTCGGGCTGCTCCTGCAGGAAGCGGCGCAGGCCCAGCCCACCCGGGAGGGGCAGCCGGCACCCCGCCCCGCCGCCGCGCGCTGCCAGCCGCGCCTCCAGGAGAAAGGAAGCCGGCACACGGGCGGGAGGGGGCGGGGGCTCTTAAAGGAGCCGCGGCCTCATCCAGCCAGGCCTCTGCTGTTGCGTCCCCTAACCGTCCCAGCGCTGCGACCTTCACTTTGGGCGTGCGGAGTGGTCCGGGAGACGCTCTGCCCAAGGACTGAGAGCCGTGTAGCAGGGATTGGGGAAGACAGGAAGCAGCTGCAGGCTCAGTGCTCTTCGTGGTCTAAGACGCCAGGCCTTGGTTGCTCCTGTCTGTTTGGCTGGGGTAAGGTGTATGTTCTGGACCCCTCCCATGTGTCCAGGTGGGTTTGTGGTACACCCCTGCTGAGTATACACACTGCCAACAACATGGACGTCCAGGTGCTGGAGAGGTCACGCCGTGTATCCCCCTGCCTCCAAGACTAAAAATACATCCTCCATCCTTGTTTCAAACAAGACAGCAGAGAATCTGGACGTTTATTAAGACCTCCGGAGGAATGACCACTGCCTGTGTGCACTAATATAAACTTCACCTGCTTTGTATGCACCAGCGATGTTTCTGGGCCACCAATATTTACCCAGAGCATGTGCATATAACATTAAGGAACCATTTCTTGTAAGGTCCTTCCTGGACTTCTGAAGAGGCCGGAAAGGGAAGGGGGAGGGGGCAAGTAGCTGAAGTGCAGGGTGCACGTGGACGCACCCACACTGAGCATGCTCCCCCATACACGTGTGCCCCGTGTACACCCAGCCTCCATCCCTGCAGCAGTAAAAGGGCCGTCAGAGTAGCAGCTTGTGAGCAGGGCAGAGATAACCAGAATCAGGTCTGGGGTCGGTGGTGACAGTTAAGGGAGCGTTCCCTAGGTGTCAGGGATTCCTGCTTCGTAATAGGGCGGGGCTTGAGAGGAGCCCTTAGATAGGGGTGCCTGAGTGGATCGATTTATCCCAGCGGTGCCAGAGCAGCAGTGACTTGTGGGTGGGCAGGCTCCTTTCCTTAGGGGAGAAAAGTAATGCTTATGAGTCACACCACCCGAAATACATGCAAAGCTGCTTCCATCGCTTTTCGCTGCAGCCCAGATTGACAAGTTTGTTTGAAATTGCGATCCACGGGATATATTTATAAACTTACCTTAAAAAAAAATCTTGCAGACATTCCCTCCCCCCACAGCCGGCCGCTCAGCTGGTGGGGCTTCTGCCAGCAAAGATAACTCGAAGGTGGTGGTGATGAGGCGCACCACCTGCCACGTCGTGTTGCACTCTGACCACGGAGTCCATAGATTTGGTGGCCCCAAGCATGGAGGTGGCGGCGGGGAGCGGCCTGGCAGCTGAAACTGGGAGTTCAGCCCACGAGCAGTGGCCACCCGTTCACCCCGGATCGACCCCCAGCTATGGAATTTCATTTATTAAATGTCGAGGCGGCTGCTGGCAGCCCCGCCGTTTGGCTGCCTTTGTTTCTTCTCTGTGTGGGCGCGTCTGGAGCACGTGGGAGCCAGGGCGCTCGGACCAAAGGGAAAGAGACCCGGGTTTAGTGTCCGTGGCCGTCTGGCAAAAAGGGAACACAGCTGCCCAAAGAAGAGCTCCCCAAAATGCAGGCTGAGCTCCCTCTCTCCCTGGGCCACCGGGCTGTGTAGAGGAAGAATAATTCATGCCCCCTGCCCCATTCCTGGTTGGCTCAGGGACTGCCTGGGAGTGGCTCTGGCACCCACACACGGTCCAAACTTTGTTCCCCAACCCCTAGTCTCAATCACAGCCCCGCTCCCGGAGATAAAAAGGATTTCTGCCTTTCCCGAAGGAGGTGTCACCACCCCAGGAAACAACAGCTGAAGTGGAATCGCACACACGGTTCTAAGCAGGATTTAATAACGAAAGGTACAAGCAAACCCCTCTCGCCCACCCCCCCCATCTCCAGGAAGCCCCTCCTTGATTCCAGCCCCCGTCTCAACTCTGGCTGTAGTCGCGACACTCTGCTGACCCCTGGCGGTGGAGGTGGGCGGCGGTCCTAGGCTGCCTAGACACCAGCCGGCTCCTCCCTGGCAGAAGAAAAGGGCGAGGCGGTCCGCTCCTCCCTCATCCCTACTCGCCAGGGCCTGGCACCGCAGGGTGTGGAGGAGGCAGGGGAGAAGACCACAGGAAGAAACCTGAAAGAGACTCAAGGAGTTTGCAAGCTTTTGCTGGCACCTCCCACACAAACACTTCCTAGATTGTTGTTCAAAGTCAGGCTGGTGTGGAATCCCTCATTCTTGTCTTGTTTTAAGGTGGGCTCAAGAAAGGCAATGTATTTGGTCCTACCACCTGCCTTAGTCCGCCCACTAGGGACAGGGAAGTGCCGCTTCCAGGCAGTTGCTCTCTTTAGCTCCCCCCAGGAGGTAGTTACCAGTCTCATTTTAGAGATGAGTGGATTGAGAAACTCAGAAAGTGTAAGCTAAGGAAGTATTCGAACTCAGTTCTGTCTTGACATCACAGTCCATTTTCTCTCCTAGGGTTGGGTTAATCGTCTTGACCCTTTTAGCCCTTGCAATTAGTAACCATAGAGGTCAAGTCCACTTTTACCACATTCTCTGCAAGGGATCCTGGTGGAAAGGCTTGTCTGCCCTGTTCTTGTGGGAAGGAGGTAATCTGGTATCTGGCACCCCTTCTGCAGGAGCCTACAAAGGATGGAAGTGGGGAGCTGCCACCTGCTGCCCAACCTCACCCTGGTTCTTGCTAAGCAGTGTATGGGGAAAGACAGTTGTCGCCGTCGTACCCCCTTCCCCCCACTGGACATTCTTTCCAACATGATGTGTGGAGGATGGAGTTTAATTTTCTGAGAGCTAAGACGAGAAATATTTCAAGTGCCAGTAGCTGCTGCAATGACCCATGGTATTGGTGATGGCATCTTAGGGGTCAATCATCAGTCACAATCTTCTAGGAATCCAGGTCTGTCTCCATCGGCTCTGGGACTCAAGCTCACTTCGGCAGGCCACACTTCTCCCCCGCCCCCAACCTTCTAGCCAGGCCTGCACATTCCCCCACCTTACAAAAGCAAAATGCCAGAGGGTGGAGGCACGCCCTGACCCACCTGGCAGCAGGAATCTGCCTCCATTTCCGCCAGGCCCGGCTCCTTGTTAACCCTCTCAGGAAATCAGGGAGCAGTGCGAGACCCTCTCTGGAAACCTTGGGTTTCCGGAGGCGGACTACAAGCCCCATGATGCTACGGGGCCTAGCGATCCCCAGCCCTGCCCCGGGCACCCGGGTCCCCTCCTCTCTTCCCCACTTCCCCTCATCCGTCGCCGGCCGCTCGGGTTGAGGGCCGGGCTATGCGGCTGCCGGGAGCCGGAGGCTGCGGGCGCACGTCCCTGCGGCGGCGTCCCCGGGGCCCGCGCCCCGTGCGCCCCCGCGCCTGCTG